CCCAGAATACCCTCCCAGAATACCCTCCCAGAATACCCTCCCAGAATACCCTCCCAGAATACCCTCCCAGAATACCCTCCCAGAATACCCTCCCATCGCATTGAAAAAAGTACGTAAGAAAAGCGCCACTGACCGCATATAAAAACTGGAGTAAATACATACTATATTTCAATCTCTTTTTTACCAGCTAGTATGATTCTTCTACCAACAGCTAGATCTAGTGTGATTAGCATCAACACTGACTGTCAACTTGTATACAGTGTGTATTCTTTTGACAGAACATGATCATTGTTGGTATATTGACGGGCACATAAAATTATATTATAATGCATTTTTGTTACTCTGAATGTATCGGTATTCATGAAACGTGTCATCATAATACAGGCCTAACTTGTCAAAAGTCTTTTTATTGTGAAGCACCTAGAGACACTACGGAGATGGCGTTATTGAAGTGATAAAGTGTTCTGGTCCTTTGTCTGCCCCCCTCCCCTCCCCCCGTACGTCCATCTCCGCCCCCCAACTCCTTTTCCAAACAATCCTGTGTTGAATCTATTATGTAGGGTCTACGTGAGAAGAGATCTTCTGTGTGTATATATGCGCATGTATGTTTATAATTTCTACTGTTGATTGCGTTAATTTGTTTATTTTGTTGCTCACTTTCGGCGAAAGGGATTTTTATTGCAAGTGAAAAGTTTCAAAATTGTCGTCGTCGTTGTGATTATTATTGTTGTTGTTGTTGTAGTTCTTTTTGTTGTGGATGTCGTTATAGTTATTACATAGGCCACTTGTTATTGTAATATCATTTCGTGTTGTTACTGTTGTTTCAGCTTTGTTTTGCTATTGTTGTTATTGTTGTTGTCTTTGTCGCTGCTGCTGCTGCTGCTGCTGCTGTTGCTGCTGTTGCTGCTGCTGTTTTTTTTGTTACTGCAGCTCATGTTGTTCAACGCTTCAACTTACCTCACTGAGGCTATACCTCATTTTCCACAGTTTTACCACCAAGCAGACCAAAGGAAATGGAAAGTTGCAACTTGGTTCAATTTTGTTTGCACTATTGCGACATTCACTATGCTATTGATTTTAGACTCAGCAGAAGTTGATATAAGCAATCTGTCTTCAACCTTTCCTTGTCTGTGTTTCGACAGTTACTTCACTCCGTGTGTTCTGGATAAGCGCCCCTTCCCCCAACCCTATTTTTTAAAAAAGTTTGGAAACCTTCCTTATCATTTCTGAGAGAAAAAATAATGCTTGACTGTATACAGTTATTAAAAAAAATTCATGCTTATTAAGACAACGAGGATTAAAAAGAATAACAGTCGTAAGTTTCATATTTAAATGATTTATATTAGCCTCCCTCCCCCCC